CCTTGAGATTGTGAGTTTTTTTGTTTGTTTGTTTAAGTTGGTGCTATAGATAAACTAAGCTAATGTTCTAAGCCAGAAGCATGTTGTTAATTCTATTCAATTCAATTCCAACACAAATGCTGTAATAGTCAGAAAGGGGAATTAAATACTCCAACATGCAGCCACCTTAAGCAATGCAATTCTAGAGTGAAATTGACTATGAAAACAGACAGTGAGAGGTAATTTGATTTTATGAAATCAAATCTGAAAAAGAAAATATTTTATTTTTTAAACTACATCACAGTTTTAACATACTAATTGATTGAATTCCTCCTTGGTTTGTTTAGTGTTTTTGAAAGCAGGAGAAACATGTAAATAGAAATTTAAGAAGAACAAAGGGAAGGTTTAATTATATAAACTGAAAAGGGTTAGGGTTAGCATCAAGAGTGAACCATTAGTGACTAATCAAGTTCATTCTGATCATTTTAAAATTGTACTGAGAAGTATAAACAGTCAGCATTTGGTTCTTTTCACCTTCATTTATTTGTTTCCTTTTGTTTAGGGCCGCTGTCAGAAGCTCATGAATTGGATCCGTTTCATAATCTTCTCCAAGCTGCAGTTCTACTGATGTTTTCACTTTTTTCTTCTTTCTGGGTAATGTTTCATTGACATGCACAGCACAGCACTCTAAAAAGGATTCTTCTGTGGCTTAGCCTCTTTTGGCAGGTTTCAGTCACAGTGTCCTGGACGACTGTCTGTCTTTCCGTGATTGTGCAGGCTATGATGCAGCAATATCCTAGCATTTCTGTATGAGAAATCTGTTTTTAAATTGATCTGATAATGCATAAAAAGGGATTGCCGAATAGGGTTTTAGTATTTTTTTTTATAAAGGTTTTTCTTTTTCTCACATCAGTATTCAGAGTATCATTAAACTGCTTTCCACCATGCAGTTGTCAGTTAGAGACTTTTTGCTTCAGCACACTTGTGTTAACAGCAGGAGAATTTAGTAAAGTTAATGACGTCCAACTCTGCAATTGCAAGTTGTGTCTCTGCTTAAGCACAAAGTAATCAAACGATGAAGTCATCAACAAATCTCTGTACAGTATAAAATAATTCAACTGCATTTGGCATTTACTTAATCATATCTAGTTACTTAAACACAATTGTTTTACCCTCTACCCTGCTAACATGGAACAGTTGTGTTAAAGTATCTAAATATGATTGAGTAAATGCCAAAAACAGTTGAGAGGAGTTCAATTGTTCCAAGTCTGTTGGATCATGGACATATCAGAATTATATATAAATATATATATATATATATATATATATATATATATATATATTAATATTAATATTTTTTTGTATTCACTGCTTCAATCTAAGGAGTTGCTGGCTATATTATGAGCTCCAACACTCTTTGATGTTACTTAATATTATTCCTTCTTTTCACTGCGTGCACTGAGAAAAGATATTGCACTTTGGTCCAGGATAAAGCATTATTTATGCATTAAACAAAACAGTGAAACTTCACAGCAGCTTTATTTAGAAGCAAAATGAACACATTAAGTGACATTTATATCTACTCATTTTCCATAGAAAGCTTAATACTATTACTAATGCTTTTTAAAATAGCATTCATTAATGAGACATTGGTTTTGGTACAACAGATCACATGCAGTTGCAAGACTGTATCACATGGTAGAATAAGGTCACAGAATTGACTTTACGACTATTTTCTAAATGTGTAGCAGATGAGATGCACAACTCCATCCTGCCTTTCCAATGATAGTCATCTTCATTGTGTTCGAATAAAATACAACATCATTACAAAAGTCCCATTTCATATTGTCTCCTGCTGCTTTTCAAGCTTTACGTCTGTGCATCTGTGTGGCTCACATCATTAAATACTGCTGATTATGAAACTACTTTAATCATTTTGGAACAATGCTATTTAGACTATTCACAGGAAACAGCAGGCTTATAATGTAGATCCGTAACTTCATATTTGATATAAGCCATCATAGCTTAATGTGGAGAATTTCATTATCCTTATTTTTTTATGTTATATTTTGTCATTTGTAAATAATCAAAATATGGTCCTAAAATGTAGGATATAATGTTAATAGTTTCTAAAGCATTTTTTCATTTGAAACCAGCTTATAATCCCCCAGTCCTCAATCATTTTATGCTCGCACTTAGTCGCTTGACAAAAAATGAAAATAAATCTCTTTCAAATCTTCAGTGTTGTAGTTAACACTATTACTTATGTCCTCACCATAGAGAGTATTTCTGAGGTTTTAATTCACTTTTAATGCCATTTTTATGGAATAAAGAAAAATCCCCCCCTACATACATACACAATAAATAAATAAAAACCCCTTATAGCCGCTTAATTGGCAGCAATAATGAGTCACATAAAAAACAAAGTATTTTCTTTCAAGGAAAATAAGCATAACATTTTGAAGAAATTTTATTTGCAAGGGAATAAACCAGAAGATTGAAATGTTGTGCTTGAAAATTTAAACCAGACAGAAAAATCAGCTGCGTGTAAAATAAATAGAAATTGACAAAATTAATAATAAATAAAAATGATAAAAGATGAAAATCATGACAGAAAAGTTCAGGATTTGGTCAGTAAGACTCCTGCATCTGTTGACATGTATGTTGGTTCACTGTTCATGACGACGGTACTTTAATATGTCTGGGACAGTTTTTTGTTAATAAAAATTTAAAATTCCTATTTGATTTTAATAAATATAATTTTGTATTTTTATTTATTATTACTTTTACTACATTCAAATTACTGGTGTGAATTTATAATTTTCTTTATTTGGAGGGTATGTAAACTTTCAAGCACAACTGTATGTCATTTTTCATCAAAATTTGCAACTCCTAAAGTAATGTCAAAATGGGACGAAGAAAAAAAAAATGTCCAGGAACCAAGAAGGGGTATTTCTTTGTTTATTTCTCATTTCTCTGCCCACGTATATACATACATATATATATGTATATATATATATATGTATATATATACAGTATATATATATACACATATATATATATATATATATTTTTTTTTTGTTGTTGTTGTAAAGATTTATCTGACACAGTAAGTCGTAAAATAAATAAAGAAATGTAATTTCTAACCTTTGTTGGTATTTGTCAGTCATATATACTTTAAATCAGTTTATAAGAAAGAAGAAGCACTATCTTTTTTAGGGATGAAGTGTTTATATGCTACGTGGATTGGGAGACAACAGGCCATGAAAGAGCTTTATAACATTAAACGTTTCACTTATAAACATATTAATATGATTAAACATGACCTATTCCTACTCTATTATAAGAAACATTTTTCTGATTTAACACCCTCTGTAGTTTAATAATTTAACAAAAATATAACTCAGTTATTACTTCATCTTTTGTGTGTTTTTTCAAAGTGTACATGTCTTAAAGAGACGATAAAAGGAATGAGGTCAGAGTCCATCTTGTCCCTGATGATGCTCCTCTTTCCTGATGGATGTTGTGTCTTCTTTATATCAGATTAATTAGATACCGACACCCCCAAAAAAATCCAAGAGAATCCTTAACATCAACAATACAGCTATCTGAACGGTGCAGTAATATTTTAGCTTCTGCTCATATATGAGTTAAAGAGTTTTAACACCAATAAAAAACATAAAAGCTTTTAATAGTATTAGCTTCTTGTTTTTAGCGCCTCCTAGGTTAAACGTGCACTGTGCTTTAGATGCTGTGCATGTACCAAAAATAACCAAAAATATTAATGTTGATAGGACCCTTTATGGAGAAATGTACCAAAATCAATGTAATACAGTCGTAAACATATTTTAACAGTTCTTGGATCATAGCAGTGACCTAAATAAAACAAGAAATCAATTGGGATATAAAATACTCCACTAATTCTTGAAATATTCTCACATGATCATATATGCGTTGGTGCAAGGTAGACTTTTTTAGGTATCTATCAGAGATTTTTGGTAAGAAAAACTATTTCCATAATTTACCAGAAAAAGGTAAGTTATTATAAAGAAACATGCAGAGACCAATTGTAACATTTCAAAGATATCCAGAGATGAAAGATTGATTTTAAAGGAGCATTGTGAAAGTTTGTTTTTTCATAAGTTCAAGTCAGTGTTGTTCCTGTGCACTGAAGAAGAAGAGAAGCATTGCAGTTTTTTGCTGGGACTGCCAAGGTCTTTTGCTATAAAGCATAATGTCATCTGAGGTAAGAAAGTTATGAATGTAATTATCTGTTAGCATCTTACCTTTTCTTTTAGCAAGAAGAACCTTTTCATTTGTAGCACATATCTGAGCTCCTTATTTTTAAAAGCATCCCAAATATTTGCTTTTGTTATTGCTTTTGTTATTTTGTCACTCATCAGAGTCTAATTTGGCCCCTTTTTGTGGTGCCAGACAATTATTTTATTTTCTCTCTCTTGTGTGGAATCTGTGGCGGTTTCATCCGCATTTTTAGCTGGTCTTTTCTGATCTATCTTCAAAAGCAGCAGCCCATGTTGTCTCGCTAACGCTTTAGTAGTGTTGAAGACTCAACAAATTAGCCAGGTGAATGAAAGTGCATCGCACATAACAGCCAGGCACATGCTCCCAGAATACAGCCTGCAGCACTTTCTCATTACTGAGTCTGTAGTGGGAACTACAATAAATAGAGGCAAACTAATTTTACACCTCGGGTCACTAAAAGGGCACGTAAGGGAATGGAGGAAAAAAGCAACCTTTAAATTTGGGCAATGCGATATAACTTTTACTGATATAGATCAGGCCTATAGGAAAAGATACTTACTGCAAGTATAGGGTTCGTCCAAATCTGTTGATATTCTCTTTGCAAAATAAAACTTTTCCCAATGAAGCTCCTGCTGTTGGTGGAATAAAATTAACTATGCAATTTGTTTTCATAGTTAAAATACCTCTAATATTTTGGTTTAGCATATGAATTATCTCTAGCTACAGCTTATATCAGCTTACGTAATTCTCCAGCTAGCAAGCTTGCAATGAAACTTTATTTTCAAAACAAAAAATAAAAGCTCTACAGTATGTTAGTTCTGAACCTAACACGAGCCAAAAAAAAAAATAATTTGCGATGTGCAACAGTCTGGATCCTTCAGGTGGAAATTTTATTGGAAAAAATATTTATACATTTAAGGGGCCTGGCATTGCTAATTTTGGATCCAACTTTACATGTAAGATTAAGGGTGTTTGATTCAGAAACCTAAATGGGTTGGATCTTACCCACAGTGCCAAAAAAGAGTTGGTAGTAAATATTGTTTGTAAAGTATGTAACAGTGTATGTGCTGTGGCTTACTTAAGTTCCTGGAGATGTTACAAGTCTCCCTGGAGATAAAATGAAGCAATTACATTCATGTTTAATGCTCCACTGGATATATGGAAATGTTGCTGCATTTCTTTGAGCTTAGTGCTCTAAAAAGCTCTTAACAAACACGTCATGGGACTTACAGCATGTGGCAGCTCAGAAGAAAACGTTGCTGCTTCTTTTCATTGTCATATTACGAGGCAACACTGAACAACTACAGTCAAGTTTTTTACAGCCATGTATGTTTGAATGGGCCAATTATCTTCACAGTGTAACATCAGCAGCACATTTTACACAAAGCAGAACATTTGTCCACTTAACATTGATTTTAAACCGTTTGCAGTCAAACACAGTTTTAGGGATACAAAAAAAATCAGTTCTAAGACAAGAATTTTCATGATTTTGCTTTTACCATCTATAAATAAGCAGATGAATGCTTACGCTACTTCACATACACCATTTATAGAAATAGTTCATTTTTACAGAACCTTAAAAAAATATGGTTCAGAGAGTAACAAGCAGAGCAAGGCATTTTGCATGTAGTTACACGACATGTCAGCATAAGCATATACATAAAGATACAAGACAATTTTCCTGCACACTCCTGCTTGGCTCACTTTTAGGTTCTCTGCAGGAGAAATTACTCAATTTAAAAGCCATAGCTGCTGTAACTGTGGTTAATCATACACTAGCAGGGCCAGGTACTTGTACTTAAATGGCACAGTTTGCATACTGCACAAACAGGCAGAGAAATCTTGTCTGCTGGTTTAAAGCACGGTTTGGCACAATAAGTCACTGCGACAAACACAAATGGTTCCCTTTATGTACATTCAGAAGTTCCTCTGGCTTTGCAGAAAAAAAGATCATACAATACCCAGGTGCCAGTTTTATTAACCATTTTTAGCAGTATTTTAAATGAAAAGAACAAATGCTGACTGGGCTGAGCTGCAAAGCAACACATGGCATACCCTGAAGAGGCTGAAACAGTAGCTGCGCAGAGCAGATCAATGATTTGTGTTCAGGTGGTCAAGAGAACCCCTGCTGCAACCATACAAAAGCAGGTTGAAGAGCACAGCTGAGATAAATAATTTTGTATTTACCTCACATTCAGTCAAGTCTTTATACAGGCAGAGAGGCCTTTCAGCCGTGACAAATACAAACCCACTCTTTACAACAGTTTTAAGCAAAATTTCTCCTATAAAATACATCTGGAGCCAAAGTAGCATGGAAGCAAATGAACATGAATTTGTTTGCTCATCATAAAGCATTAGAGATAAGCTGATGTCTATGCCCAGTGGCTAAGATTAATAAGGCAGAAAGAACCACAATAACGGGTTGTAAAAGTGGGTTTATAGATCAATTAATTTAATAGTCTTGTTACCAGAAAATATCTGTCTACACCTGTCCTTTCCTTTAAAAACAAACAAATTTGTTTTTTAATCCTCAAGCATGGATTTGCAGGTTTATAACACGAGTCCAAGCAGAAATACAAAGGAGAGCAGGGAGTGGGAGAGGTCATCCGTGCTCCTCAGTGTCAGCCTTGTTCTGTATTTGAGGCATACATGTGTGGTTTCCGTTCAGTAATTAAAGCCCTGTGGTGACCTGCGTTACTTCAGAGTTGAGATCGTCGTTGGCAGCTCCTCCGCAATAGCGAGAATCCACCGACGACCCCTCCAAGGCTAGTCATACCTGCAGAGGAGGAAAAGTCTTTCTGCATCACATCCAAGGGATTCTGGGATTTATTTCTCAAAGCTGTAAACTGTTTTTGTGCCAATGAAAGGCAGAGCATAATTTTTTTTTTCATGTATATAAACCTTCAATATTTACCTTGTTGTTAACACATATGAAATGAGATGCTATCATGGATTTTTGTGAACCTTATGATTCATCCAGTTGGTCCAAATTTTCTTAGAGTATTGCTTTAAACTGTTACAAATCCTGGTAATGTGCTCACGCTCCTGTTGAATACCTGTTGATTCGACCTCTCGCCCGTGTTTGGGCTGTTACTTTCGCGCTTTGGGACTCTGCGGCTGGTGGCTCCAGTTCTGGATGAGTTTTGTATCTCCAGCACTGATGGACTGGGGGTGCAGAATTCACGGAAGCAGCGCTTGAAGTTCTCATCAAGGTAGCCATAAAGAACTGGGTTCAGACTACTGCAGGGCGAGAGGAGAGGTAAAGAGATAAGATTTTAATGCTTGAACAGAGATTAAATCAACTTTCACAGAAAGTTCTTAACACAATGTTTACCTCTATTAAAGGTATAGTGAAGGATTTTTGTGAATTTTTAAAAGGACCTGCCCTCTTCACTTAAAAAAAAAGCACAACCCTGTAACCGCTCCTGAGAGGGAACGCCTATTAAACGTGTGCAAGAGCATGCATGTGGCCATTTCTCCTCGTGCACACTCTATTTAAAAGTTGCCGCTTGGATCGCTCATACAAGCTTACTTTCAAAAAGATTTGAAATTTTCAAACTTGTCCGACTCACCACCGGTAAGTGAAAATGGGGACGAGCACGTAGGACAGCCTTATGTAATCATATCACCAGAATGATTGACAATTAGGAGGACCACCTATTTTGATGATCCACCTGGAAAAACAACATTCTCCACTATATTTTTAACTATATGCGGCTGTGGAAAAACTGCAATATGCAGCTTTATAAAACAAGATTTTCTTCCTAATGCAGCAGACTTTGCTTTTTAACCACTAACATAATTGAGGGCTAGGGATTTCACTCCATTCGTCTTTGTGGTAACAGTGATGTAGGATAATGAAGTTTCTCCTGCAACCATGGAGTCGCTTGTTTGAACCCCAGTTTCAGCCATTCTGTTTTTGGGCAGGACACAAAGCTTCCATGTAAGTACAGACCAGCTGCCATTATTTAGAAGCCATCTAGCACAAGATAATTTAAATAGTACACTATACATGATTACTTTTCACTTGCCTTGTGTAAATTTGGTATAATTTGAGTCAACAATTTATTTGACGAGAGAGATGTCTAGGGCGAAACAGAAGCAGATGTCTACGCAACCTAGAACGTAGAAACGTAGAAGCGGCTCTCTGCTATGGCCGAGCTCCTCTCCCTATCTTTATAGTGGTACTCAGTCACCCTGCAAAGGATGCTTCTTTAATCCAATTGTATCTACAGCAGGATCTTGTTCATTTGACTTCCTATCTGATTTAGTGTTAAATGCTGACAAGGTCATTATAGTGGAGGATTTTAAACGTTCATGCTGACATTGAAGGTAATAGCTTAAATGCAACCTTTAATGCTATCTAAGCATCCAACTTGTATGTAAGATTCAGTCCAAACCAAGTTATTTAAGTATCCCCACTGATTTCCACTTCAATTTTAATCTATCCCTGTTATAAGAATAGATACTGCTGTTTAAGGTAGTTGTAAATAAACCTTGACTTAAAAAACCTTCTTTTGATCCAAATGACTTGGTCAATTATAGACTTCTATCCTTTCTATCTAAAATTCTTTAGAAAATAGATGCTAATCAAGTGTGTGAGCATCTATATCATAATGACCTATTTGAATATTTTTTGAGTTTTAGTCAAGTTTTGGAGCTCTTTATAGAACTCAAAGAGCTCTGATGAAAGTCACAAATTACATTCTCATGGTCTCAGATAATGGACTCGTACAGTATCTGTACTTTTCCTGTTGATTGCAGTACAGCATTGGACAGCTGACTATAATATTCTTTCATAATGTCTTGAACATTTTATATGAAATTGAGGAAACTGCATGAGAAATATAAGAGATTTCACGATGTTAATGTTAATAATAAATCTTCCTCATGCTCCGGGGTTACCTGTGGAGTACCACATGGATGAGTACTAGGGCCAATTCTCTTTACTATGTATATGCTCCCTATTAGTATAATTATCTGACTGCATGGGATAAATTTCCACTGTTATGCTGACGATACTTGGCTTAATTTGTCCAAAGATCCTGATGAAACTAACCAATTACATATACTATAGGCATGTCCAGGAAACTTTTTATGAATCTGACTGCATGATCTCATTAAACTGTCTTTGTAAAGTGCCTTGAGATGACACATGATGTGAAATGGCTGTGTATAAACAAGCTGAACTGAATTTAATTGAAAATGTAATTGAATTTAGACTTGTGCTTCAATTTCAATGTTGGACATTAGTGTACATGTTGTCCTATTATTAGGTTAGTTAAAGCAATACTTTCTGCAGTACTATCTAGAAATTACAACAAATATTTATCAGCCTGGTTTGTACCTGTTGGTGTAGCCCAGGGCAATGCAGAAGTGCCAAGTGATAGTCTGGAGGGTGGAGCTGGGAATATTTATCAGAGCTGTGATGATGACAAAGACGTGAATTGGGGTCCAGCAGACGATGAAGACAGCTACTACGACCAAGACCATGCGGGTGATTCTTCTGAGGTTCTTGTCTTTTTCCTATAAGAGTTTGTATAGTACATTGGTGGGGGAATTTGAGAACAAAGTGTAAAAAAGAAAAAAATTGGGTCAAGTAATGAGGAATCATTTCATTATAATCAATAATGAGAAGGATAAAACCTGAATAACAAATATGGAATGAGTGCCCTAACATGACATATATGCCTCAGTCAGATAAAATCATGTGTTTAGAACGCAATTATAACTAAATCAAAGCCTACTGCTTCAGCTAATTTCCTCTAATTGTTTTATCTTGAGCTTAATGAGTCAACTCTATTTTAAGGCATGTTGTGGGCATCTCCCATTGTGCTCGATCACTCTGTAAAATACAATTAATTCATTAGGTAGATGAGAACAAGAGGTCCGCTAAAACCAATGACATGTAATTTTTGAAAAATATTCATTTAAACTCTTTAATATATATATATATCAAAAAAAAAAAAAAACGAGTTTGTGTTAACCTGTGAGCCTGACAGCATTCGAACACTCTTGAGTCGCAGGATCATCAGTCCGTAGCACACGGTGATGATAAGGACAGGCATGATGAAGGCAAAGATGAACACGCATATCTTCATAAGGGTCTCCCAGTACCAGGAGGGATGGGGGAAAATCAGCTTACAGTCGATAATGTTGGAGGCTGTGCAGAAAAATACATTTGCTTTAAAACTTTTCCCAGCAGTATCATTTAGAAAGCCCAGCATATTTAGCTGTAAATTCATTGACATCAGCACAATTTTAAGGCAATGCTGCAGACCATGTATTTTACTAATAAATTCAGTTTTTTTGCTATTGCTCTGTCTTTAGGAGGTAGAAAGTCAATAGAACTTCAATTGTTGATATTATTTAAAACACTACAATGTTGTTAATGAAACAAGAAATACCAGTAAACACAGCTGTTTAAACACTGTATTGCAATTATATTATATTTAAATAATTTTAAGAGTTTCTCTCTAAATCCAGCCAATGGTGTTGGAATGTGATCGGCCCAATCAAAACCAGCTCCTCGTTGCTGCAGGAAGTGGGAACACATCAAAGCAATGAATATTTGTTTTGTTGTCAACTTAGATGATCTCTAAGCCCAAACCAGAATATTATCAATGCAGCTTTTTGGATTTTGCTGAAACTAACTTCAGGGTCAATTTCCTGACTCCAGCTTGTGTCTGCAAGGCTTTCTGACCACAAGAGCAGGTTGGAAAATTCATGGAAAGTGGGTTGGCATGGCTTGAAAACAACTGATGGGGTTATCCAGAATATGTTACAGTGAAGATTTGTCTCTGCAGCCCAGATATTGAACTGTTGCCAGTTGGTTTCCATATTATTAGCAAAGAAAGTTTACCAGTGTTCTTTTGGTAACTATTTATATTCCACCTTTTGTATTTCTTGTATTTTGAATTTATTCGAAATCGATATTCGATATTCGGATTAGAAATCAGGCCTGGATTGCTTTCTGGTAAGGGAGAGAATTTAGCACTTTCAATAAGAAGTTAAAAGTAACTTCAGAGCATAAAATATGAAACACATTACTGATAAGACATCTTTTTTCCAGGAAAGATGACAAAATGTATTTGCTTGTTTATGTAAAATGAAACCTATATTCAAGCACTTCTCCGAACCAGGAACCTAAGCTTAAACCATTTAATGTGTAAACATTAGTTGCTTTTTTATGCCCAATTTATATTGCAGAATAATTGTTAAAATGCTGAATGCTCTACCTTATATTCCACAATTGTTGTGTGTATTAAATAGTTTTAATTTAGACCATGTTTTCTATGTTTATATGTTTATGAGTGTGTGCATCAATTATTCACATATATTAGTTATTTATGGGTCATTTTGTGTGCCTATACCATATCTTTATTTATTTGCTTGTGATCATTGATGTTTCCAGCAAAGATTTTTAGGAGCAACAGTAAACCTTAAACTAATTTAATCAGTGACAAATCAACAACTGAAACAAGGTGTTTTTTTAATTAAGATTGATAACACAGTCTAAAAATCCTGTTTTGGTTGTTTTAACAGATGTGCTGCTTTCATAAATGGGGATCCCAGTTAAAAACGGTGGGCAAACTTACTTTAAACAGTCATAAAGGTTTCAAAAGAAAGCCCATACTTTTTCATGCAGAAAATGAATCCAACACTAGAGCAGACATTGGGAACACATTAAAATTAATAATTTTTTTTTTATGTTCTCTTAGTGCTGTTTTTTTTAGTAACTTCTGCACCAGGTCACCAACCTTGAACTAGCTCATTGTTTCAAGTTCTCTACTTAAGCGGTCTTCACTGACTCATTGACCCTCTGCTGTTAATGATTTTCTGCCAGCGGGCCACAATATTGATGCTAGAGTTGGCGTTACAGGCTATTATATCACACCCTAAAGCTTTTCTTTCCATACAAGGTCAACAGCAGAGGTAATTTAAAATTGTTGTGGTGGAGCTTGCAGAACCACTGAAAGGCTAAAATATGAAAAGAAAGATAGTATATTTATTCATCTATTTTGACTTTTAATAATTTAATATTTGTATGGGTAAAAGGGGGTCATTTAAGTACTCAACTGAGGTTTTTAGATTATATTTTTCTTTTTTTTTTCTTAAGTAAGTGATTTTTTTTGTTAAACAAACAATGATTTAAGTATATCTTAATACACCTATCTATCGCTTTCAGTAGGGATGCACAGAGTATAACATTTCATCACACAAATCCCAGTTTAAAAATGTACTTTCTTTTGTCTTTTCTTACACAGAAATTTCAACAGTAGGGGACGTTCCACTACGTAATTTGCCAATATCATACAACCGCTAATACTTACAGGTCATGGCAGAAGAGGCCATGAACATCACAGGCAGCCCAATGGCTGATGAGAGGATCCAGTTGCAGACGTTGACGATCTTAGCGTTCCGCGGTGTCCTGAAGTCTAACGCCTTGACCGGGTGGCACACAGCGATGTAGCGATCAATGCTCATGGTGGTGAGCGTGAAGATGGAGGTGAACATGTTGTAGTAGTCGATGGACATAACCATTTTACACAGTATGTCGCCGAATGGCCAGGTGCCCATCAGGTAGTTAACGCTCTGGAAGGGTAGCGTGCTGGTGACCAAGGTGTCTGCCAAAGCCAGGTTAAAGATGTAGATGTTGGTGGCAGTTTTCATTTTAGTGTACCTAAAGAGGAAAATAAAGATGGTATAATTAAAGATTCTTACACTCAAAGTACCCCACTATTCATCCACAGCATGAAAACACATTACTGCTTCCTTTGTATTGTCTTTGATTTCTGTTTTTCATCTTTAAATACAACTTTCTCCTCCTTACTAGGCTCTTTTTACAGTATACTGTGAAATAAGCCCTGCTGATCTACCCTGATCTTTGTCTGAACACAGCGACTGTTCAACAGATGCTAACAGGCATTCAAAAGCATTTTGGACAGAGTGTGCTCAGCATGCATAATGAAAAAATCATTTGGATCCTCTTCCAGCCTTGGAGACAGACTAAAAGAAATACATTTGTGTGTCACATTATATTCATATCCTGAAGAAATAGAAATTCAGTGATTGCCAAATAGTTGTTAAAGTCTTTTTTGTCTACTGCAAAGTAATTTGGTGCATAAAATTTTAATACCTGTGTGAGCATAACTGAAGCATAATCAAACTAATCCGTTCAGTTCCTGTGTAATAACCTGTCCTTTGTGTACAATTACTTATAAGTATATTTTATTGGATGCTAAGTAATAATAATTCCACTTTCAAGTATAATGTGACTATTTAACTTACAAGATGTCGTCATAAATCATGAAAATACACTTTTGCATAAATACACATCAGGCTTTCTTTAAAAAATTTCTTTACAAAAATGTGTAACACATGAAATAACAAGGTTCAAAATGAAGTAACAGGGTAAAATGAATGACTAAATTTAATCAATCAAAAATTGACTTGAATTAATTCATTAAAACAAACTAGAGTAAAGAAACAAAACATAAAATATGTAAATGATAAATATCCTATTTAGATTAAATAGATCTGTCCTATGAAAAACAAATGGAAGACAAGAATGCTGTTTATAAATTTTTTCACACTAGAATCAGGTTAACAAAATAACAACTGACTTGAAAACACATTTGTAGTCTTAAAATTATTTTGTAAGTTCTTGAATAAGCCATCCGTTCATACCAGCTTCTTTATCTGTTTTCCATCAGTGATGCTTTTTTTCTGAGTTATTCTTCCTTTCTCCATGAATCTGCATTTCTTCTCACCCTGTCCTCTCTGCATTTAATTAGTCAGAGGTGTCAGGTAACTAAGGAAACAATAGGAATTGGGATTATCCCAGATATCACTCGAAAGTATGATGACAGTAACAGGATCTGGAAAATTTTCTGTACCTTTTCTGCTGTGTCACTTATGAAGTTTAGCTAAAAATGATTAGGATGTTGAACATGTTGTTGAACATATTTAGATTGTGTTTGTACAGGGAGCTTTGCTAAACAGTAGAAACAAAATAATAATAATAAACATAAAAAAAATCAATTATAATTATTATTAGCTGAAAAAATGACTTTGCTAACAAGCTGCCCCTTTAGCCTAAGAAAAAAAACAACAACTTTTTAACATTAACAGCAATTAATACAAGTTCTGATAAGGCTGTTTTGTCAGATTGAAGGTACCTTTTGTAAATAACCTTAATTAGCTATTATTTTGACTTTCACTGGCATTATGTACTGCACCTTTTTGCTCTAGTCCCCAAAAAAATAAAAAATAAAAATTATTTCAAATTTTTTTGCTGTTAAAGCAACAATCCCTCTGAATAAATTTAATTTTGTATTTCCTCTTATGCATGCATAATGACAATAAATAAAAATGCTAATTCAAATTGTCAAAATACTTTTTATTAAGACAATAGTTTTCATTAATAATGTTCCTTTTATAGCTCTGATGTAATATTCTAACCCTAAATATGTTTTCACTAGTTATAAGCAAACACTCATTAAAATAACTAAATCTTTAAAGATATCGATCCTTTATAAATGTATTTCACTTAGCTGACTGAGTTAGAGAATTTCATTTATTTTTTTGTTATATTCTAATTCACTAATTGAGTCTGTACAAAACATGTCTGGCCTTCATTTATTGAAAGTTATACTTGCACACAGCTTCAAGTTTATTGATTTAGCTTTTGTTTTTTTAATTAAAAGGAAAGGGCAGCACACATGAATAAAGATTGGTTAATAAACCTCATATAACCCTGGGCCATCTAGTTTTTTGATGGTTAGGCTTTGCTATAATAAGTAGAAAAGCACATAAACTAACTCTACCATGACATACAATAAATAAATCCTAGTATATACTACTAGTAGAAACTCTTCTATGCTACAATCATATATTGAAAATGTTCTGAAAATCATTGTGTGATTTAGATGTAAGATATAATATTGGTTAATTCATTCATTTAATAGAGGATTCTAGAAATCTAATATAGAGTAACATGGCACACGTATCCATTTAAGTGGGTTTTATGGGTAAAAGAGCATGGCACTAGCGAATTTGTAAATACAAATGCATCAGTTTTAACATTGGATGTTCTGAACAGTAAATTTTTCCTGATATTGTGCAAATGCAATAAAATCTGAATTAATCTAAAGTCCTCCTGCATATATTTTACCTGGGATGTCAACACATCTGAAGGACAATGCATAATAATATGGTCGATAGTATGTCAAGTGTTTTTAAACACTCCCCCAGAAAGCATTGATAAGATTATTTATACTTTGCTACGTCTTTTTTTGCATGAATGTTTGAAATGTTAACATTAATTCTTAATTAGACTATATATTTAGTACTATTTTATCAAAATATTAGACACAGCTTCTGAAACCATTGGAAAGATATAGAGAAAGGAGCAGGAGAGGATAAATAGAGATGTTTAAAAGAACCAGAAGGAATCAATGAGAGGGGTGTTAAAATGTCCAGTCTATTTTCTCCTGCGTGAAAAAAAAGACTGCACTAAAGGCAGAATGCACTGTCTGACTAATGTGATAAAAAAAGAAAAAAAAAAAAAACAGATAAAATTGTAATTTCATTAAAATAGGAATGCAAATAAATTGTTAGGTCAAATATGTTTAAGTAAACAGAACTCTGTTCATTATTTAGCTGAGGGGAGAGGGAAAAAACACAAACAATCTACATGGGTTCAACTGTTTAAATTTCTTGTCAGAAAAAGACGTATATGATATTTAGCGTTTAATCTCTTTGGGCTATAAAACACAAAAAACAAGCAACAGTTAACCATGCAGCCATAACCTGCACCCCACTCAGCTGTCACAGATATCAAAACTCAGTTTGGACAGTAGAGATCTGAGATGTATTTAGGTTTTTTTTAATATTGAAACTGAATAAAATATAATCTCATCAATGAAAAGAGAAAAAGGTTTAAAGAGTACGTTTTTTTCTCAGCTCGAGGTTTTTAAATGTTTGATGAGGAATGTCTGACATTTAATCAAGCTCAACAGTTTTAAAGATTAAAAGAATGTCTCAAGCTATTCAACCCAACTAAATTTTAGTCAGTCCGCTTCATTTTGATTCTAATACTCAATTTCTCTTTGCATTAGGGATTTTTTTCATCCTCTGCTCATACATCTTTAAAGGAAAATATTTAGATGGCCTTGCAAGTGCATACATATCTTTTCAGTTTTCACTATTTGTAAGGTCACAAGTTCTAGTTTTAAAGTATGTATGTAATAGATTAACACTTGACTGTGCATGATTATGAGGTAAAGTAAATGTATATGTAGCTTTCAAAAATGTTTTTACAACCAGAAATGTACATCTACATTCAGATTTTATGTTTTGGTATGCCCTCTTGGTCGAAGGTTAGGCTTTATAAACCTTTAACAAGTCTGATCTGTCTCGATATATTCCAAGTCTGATCTGGTTTCCTGGCTCTGTTGAAAAAGATCCTGCAGCATATGGCATCCACCTCCATGTTTTACAATGGGGATGATGTGAACAGTGGGATTTCTAGAGTTAGTTTTCTGCTTAATGTTTTTCCTGTTGGCCAACACAAAAATACGTTTTGGTCTCATGTAAACAGAGTCATTTCTTTCAAAAGAGTTTTTAAAGTTTTGCCACATAATTATATAAAGAATAAATGTAAAGAGCATCACTATGTTTGTGATTGGTTGGACCTAAAATATACAAAAAAACTAACAGGCTGCTAAATCTACTAACAGGATTAGGACCAACACCTGTCACTGAGCTGACAAGGAGTTATTAAAATTATGTAGGTATTAGGTTTTTTTATGGCTTCCTGCATGAGCTGCTGATTCACCCTTGGTGTGATTTCAGTAGACCTTTGACTCCTAAAAAAGTTAATCACTGTTCCATGTTTATGACATTCACAGATAATGGCTCTCGCTGTGGTTAATTGAAGTTTTAGAACTTTAAAGTTTAAGAACTAACAATAGTTGACTTATGCTTAAAAAAAGTTGACACTTTTTAGTTGACACATACGGAGCCCCTCTGATGACATGGTCAAAAAAAATTTTTAATTGTGGCCACAAAGTAGTATTTCGTGCGCACGAAGTAGTATTTCGTGGCCACGCAATAAGTATAACGTGCGCACGAAATACTACTTCGTGGCAACGCAATAAGTTTATCGTGCGCATGAAATACTATTTCGTGGCCACGCAATAAGTTTAACGTGCGCACGAAATACTTATTAATAATATTAATATTATTAATATCATTCCTGGACAACTGGGTAAGCAAATCGAGCGCGTCTAAGGCGCGCTCGATTTGCTTACCCAGTCGGTCTCCGCCAGTCACGTGACATTTGTTGCTAAGACGCTATTTTAGGTGGAAAAGGCGTAGTGTAAACAACCGCAGCATAGCTAAACGAAGGACTAAAGGCCCGTTTACATAGCAGCCTGTCCAAGATAAGTCATTACAGTTAACATAAACCTGAAAACAGGGGTGGATTTATTGATATTATTAATAAGTATTTCGTGCACACGTTAAACTTATTGCGTGGCCACGAAATAGTATTTCGTGCGCACGTTAAACTTATTGCGTGGCCACAAAATAGTATTTCGTGCGCACGTTATACTTATTGCGTGGCCGCGAAATACTACTTCGTGGCCACAATTAAAAATTTTTTTGACCATGTCATCA